AACCTTGTGATGTATGTATTACTTTAATCTCCGTTCATAAGTAAAGACTCTGAGGCACAGAAGCATTACCATTACCCAGCGGGCAAATCCGGTGCAGGTGGTCTGGCTTTAGAACGTGTGCTCTTAAGTAGCATGGCCTCTGGTAAGTCATCCAGAGTGTGGGGAAGTCCTGCCGCTTCACATCTGTCTCCTTCGTGTTGCCTGTCTGCCCTTTATCTGGGATACTCTTTCCCAAAGACTCTGGTCAGGGGGCCGACTCACTCGCCTATTCCTGGCCAGTCACTGGCCTTGGAGCTTGACTAGAGTAACCTAACCTTTACATGTAGCCTAGCACAGACTGACTTTATTTAGAATTCATAACTTTGCTTGGATTAACCTCTAAACCCACTAGATTTTATAAGGTTTTTGTAACCATATCCTGTAATTCGCTAAGAATTTAACTAAAAGGCTGAGACTTAATTAGCTAAACTTCCTTTCATACCTACACCATCCCTCCTACACCATCCCTGACACTGATGATTGCCAGAGCTGTTTTTCAGAAACAAGCCCAGGATGGGGGTGGGGAGGGCGGTGGTGGGGGTGATCCAGCTGAAACTACCTGAGACTGGCCAAAGCAGCTTAGAGGACCCTGTAGTGACCTCCTCATGAACTTTTCTCATTATACCCTCATTATAATACAGTGGGGCCTTGACTTATGAGTTTAATTCGTTCCGTGACAGAGCTCGTAACTCAAATTACTCGTATGTCAAATCATTAAAGTAAATGAGTGAGACATGTGATGCTGGGCTGATGTTGTGGCGTTCACTGTGATGTTCGCTGCGTCAACTAGTGGTGGGGTATCTGAAGCTGGCTCGTAACCCGAACTTTAGCTCACAACTCAAAGCAAAAAATCGGCCAAGAGACGGCTCGTATCTCGAAAAACTCGTTAGTTGGGACACTCGTAAGTCAAGGCCCCACTGTACTAAAATCTCCAGTTAGGGGCAGAGATTTTCCTTTGTTTTTGAACATGAGATGTATGAATGGCCATGTTTTCTGACTGTGCATCCCTATCTATACCTGCGATGATGAAGCTCACCTTAATGTTTATGCATGTTTTCCCCGAATAAAGATGAATTTGATCCTTTCTTGGGGATACACGGCTTTGGGAAGTGACCCACCCCAGTGTGTCTTTGTTGCTGACTTACAATAAAGTTCCTTCTCATAGAATCATTTCAGAGTTGTCTTTTGGCTGATAACACTAGCACTTTGTGTCTATATTGTTTAACTACATGATGCTCTATTTGTTGGAATATTTGATTCTTTGTGTTATAACCTTCTGGAGAGCAAGAACTTTTTTTAAAAAAAATATATTTATTGATTTTTTACAGAGAGGAAGGGAGAGGGATAGAGAGTTAGAAACATCGATGAGAGAGAAACATCAATCAGCTCCTCCTGCACACTCCCCACTGGGGATGTGCCTGCAACCAAGGTACATGCCCTTGACCAGAATCGAACCCGGGACCCTTCAGTCCACAGGCCGACGCTCTATCCACTGAGCCAAACCGGTTAGGGCAAGAACTTCTTATTTTGGTAAAATTTTAAATAGTTGTAAAGATAAAGCTAATAAAATAATGAACTTACAAGTGCTCATCACACAGCTTCAGCAATTATTTCATAGTCAATCTTGTTTCATCTACAACCCCTTCCCCCAATTGGATTGTTCTAAAGCAAATCCCAGACATAAGACCATTTCATCTGTTAATACAGGGGTGGACAATAGTAGGTTTACAGTTGTGAGTATGTGAAGCACATACTCGCTTGTATTAATAATTGTATTATTTTCCTTATGAACAACTATAAAACTACTTTTGCCCACTCCTGTTTTTCAGTTGTATTACTAACTTACTAAGGGCTTTAAAAAAACATAACCAGAGCCCTGGCCAGTGTTGCTCGGTTGGTTGTAGTGTTGTCCCATACACCAAAGGGTTGTGGATTCGATCCCTGGTTGGGGCACGTGTGGGAGGCAACCAATCAATGTTTCTCTCTCACATTGATGTCTCTCTCTCTCTCTCTCTCTCTCTCTCTCTCTCTCTCGCAAGTAAATTTAAAAGGTTATATAAAAAGACATAAGCACAATGCCATTATCACACTAAAAATTAGTACTTCCTAAATATCATAAAATATTCAATGTTCAGATTTCTGTAATTATCTCATAATTTTTTCCTTCCCTCTCTTCCTTTCCTTTTTTTTTCTTCCTTTATAACTCCTTATATGGATAGCTACATTATTTTCATCTCTCTTAGGTAAATTCCTGGAAGTGGAATTGCTGGACCGTATAGTTAACATTATAAGAAAATGCCAAACTCTTTTCCAGAGTGCTTGTTTCTTTTTATATTTCCACCAAGAATATATAAGAATACAGGTTGTTTCACATCCTCACAACACTTGGTGTTATCAGTCTTTTAAAGTTTAGCTATGTGCCAATAACTTTTTTGAGTACTTCTCGATGCCTTGCAGAATATATTATTCATGTTATGCTTATCTTGTGGAATGTTTTCCCAACTCACCAGTTTTTCAATCCTTCCTATGTTTTACGCCAGTGTTTCCTAACATGGAATATATGTAAGAATCATCTGGGAGTTTCTCAAAATATACAAGCCTCAGTCTTATTCCAGACATACTGTATCAGCTTCTTCAAGGATGGTTGAAAAAGTTCCCTAAGATAATTCTGATTTATACTCTTGGTTTTTACCACTGCTTTTAGGCTCAAGTCCTACCTATGACAGCAGAGGTTCTCCATCCTTGGCTGCATGTTAAAAGTATCTGGGAAGCTTTAAAAAATGAGCAATGCCTGGGTTCCACCTCACACCAATTGAATTGAAATCTGTGGGTAAGGACCGAGTATCAGTTGTTTTTATTTTTTATTTATTTATTTTTTTATCAGTTGTTTTTAGAATTCCCCAGTCATTCTAATGAATAGCCATGTTTCCCATTGGATTTATCTCTGTCTTCTCTTGTGGCATTTTATCCTTTTCTATTTTTATATTATAACTAGAGGGGGGGGGGGTCCCTCAGCCTGGATTGTGAGAGGGCGCAGGCCAGGCTGAAGGACACCACTGGTGCACTATTGGGGCCAGGGAGGGACATGGGAGGTTGGCCAGCTGTGGAGGGACCACGGGAGGGCACCAGGGCATGTCCGGCCTGTCTTGCTCAGTTCTGATCGGCCAGACCCCAAAAGCAAGCTAACCTACCGGTTGGAGCGTCTGCCCCTTGGTGGTCAGTGCATGTCATAGCAAGCGGTTGAATGGCCTTAACATATCATTAGCATATTACACTTTGATTGGTTGAATGGCTGACCAGATGACCGGACACTTAGCATATTATGCTTTTATTATGTAGGATAATTTTTCATGTCTTATCTCTTGCCTTAGGATTCATGTTCCTTGAGGTAGGAACCCTACCTTTCTCATTTCTGTCTCTTCCATAGGATCTAACACTGAGACTTGTAGCACAGTAGGTGCTCCATAAGAATTTCATGGGCACATAAATTGGTCATTAGGAAGAGTCTGTGGTCATTACCCGAGTCTCAGGTACACACCTTAATGCGACAGGTTCCTGTCCTCCGCGGGGTCATTGTTGCTCTTGATGACTGGTGTGTTAACTCCTCTGTGAATAACAGATGGATCATTGCCCTGTGTGGCATTTGTTTTCATACACAGCATTGGGACTAAGAATTATATGTGTGTATGGGGTTAAGGGACCAGGATGGATAAGGAGACAGATCTAATTAGAATGGAGGAATTATACTAGAGAAAAGTGGTAAAGAGAATGAGGAAGAAAGAAATTTGAACTTACTCGGTAGGCCAGGGCAGGCCACAGTAGACTCTTGAGTAGGAGAGTGAACCAGTTTTTAGGAAGCTAATGAGTGTTGTGCAAGGCAGAGTCCATTAAAGACCAGAGACAAAAAGTCAAGCTGAACCCCACTGCAGTTGCTGAGAGCCTGGGTTATTTAGGTTTATGGGACTGGAGGAAAGGGCACAAATGAGAGATGTTCAAAAAGAATCAACAGGCTTTGATGATGTATGGAATCTGGGAGACAAAAAGCAAGAGCTGAGAAATTGGTGTCACTGTGACAAATGAATGAGCTGTGGGGGGAAGCCAGTTTAAATGGGAAGTAACTGCAGAAGGCAGTTGGATACGAGTGTGCTGAGTACTGGGAAGCAGTAGGGGCTAGAGATACAGATGTGGGAGCCATCTGCATAGCGGTCACTGAAGCTGGGGGAAGAGGAGGCTGGTGTGGGGGGAGATAGCAGGGTCTGAGTACTAATTCTGGTGTGTGTGGGGAACAGGAGGAGGACACCCAAGGAGGAAAAAGTTGTCTATGGTCTTAGAGGTTATAAAAGTGAGCAATGTGAGGATGGTGAAAACATCTTTGAGTCCAGTCAAGATGCGGATACTGAGGATGGAGGAGAAACTTGGTGATGAGGAAAGGGAAAGACAGCATACATTTCAATCGCTTGGAAATGAAGGAAATGAGATAACAGGCTAATACTGGAATAAATGAAGGTTATTCGGGTGCGAAGATCTCTGATCCTGTGAGGTGGCAGAAAAACTGACCTTGGGACAGGAAGATAGTGTCAGAGAGATTTCTACAGGACAGAACCCATGGAGACTTCATGTGGGTGAAGCCCTGTTGCTGCATCTGATTCGCTGGAGCCACTGATGTGGGAAGTGTTATTCGTCCCTAATGAAGAGGCTGGGAATTTTTCACTCATGAAATCATCTTTCCCAGAGCAAAATAGGCAGTTTCTTCCAGGCAGTTTGCAGCTGTGGGCTGTTGCTTCTTGATAGACTCACTTTGTTAGCTGGTGTGCAAATAAAATAAATAGCTACTTCTCTGGTCACTCGGTAGAATATCTGTAGATTTAGAAATAGGCTTTGACTACCAGTTAAGTAATTTCTATTTCTTCTGCCTGTAAAGAAGACATTGTCTAAAGCATTATCAACTGTGAGGCAGCATATTGATGTCTGATATATAATTTTTATTATAAATATAGAGCAAGTTTTACAAATAATTCAGAAGTGGCCTTAGCCAGACAAAATTAAATAACAGAGACTAGCACAGATGAGGGGAAGTATTTACAGTCTGTGTCAGGGTCAGAAAACCCTGAAAGAGGTACCTGAGTACAGAGAACTCCCAACTAACCCTCTCTGGGGGGTCTCTTAGACACAGTATGAGATCCAGTAATCAATATCGAATAAATTATTTCTCTCAACAGCCCCAAAGAAAGTCATCCGTGTGGAAGGCTGGGTGGGCAATAGTTTGCCTCTCCTTCCCTTTTCCCTTCTTTTTTATTCTGACACAATGGGACTCAGACCCCATGGGAGAAAAATTCCAGAGCCTGGGGCCCAGTTATGATCCTCCCCTGTGTCCTAAGGAGCTCAGCACCAGTGCAGCTTTCCGGGTTGTAAACAATGGCAACAGTGTGAGTGACAGTGTTCCTTTCAGGGCTACCACTTCTCAAGGACCAAATACACTTTAGCAGAGGCCCAGGTTTCCTGAGACAGTAAGTGGGGAAGATGGACCGAACGTGCGCAGGCAGAAACATGGACTCGAATGGTGGTTGATGATTGGCCTGAGATGCCTGGAAACTGACTTAGATCCACCTCCAGCCATGAATGAGAGAAACTGGGTCTTCTTTTCCACTTGGAGCCACTGACATAAAAGCTTGAGGAGCTCCTGGTCAAGGGAGGAGCTTTGGTGGCTTCTTTCACCTAAAGTCTTCAGATTGGCTTACAAAGCAAAGCTAAGTAAAGTCAACCCCTTTCACATAAGGTGTTACAAAGATTAAAATGGTGAAATGTCTCAGAGACGGGAACAAACCCACTACCCCAAATTGTGCATTCTTTAATAATTACTTAAATAATCTCTAAAGAGTAACCCTGATTCGTTTCTGAAATTCCTCGAAGATTGTTTCTTTTTTGTTTGTTTTTTTGTTAATCCTCACCTGAGGATATTTTTTCCGTTAATTTTTAGAGAGTGAAAGGGAAGTAGGGAGGGGGAGAATTAGAGAAGAGAAACACTTACACTAGAGGAACACATTGATTGGTTGCCTCCTGCATGAACGCAACTGGGGCCAGGAATCCAACCTGCAACCCAGGTACACGCCCTTGACCAGGAATCAAACCTGAAACCCTTAGTTTCATGGGCCAACGTTCTAATCACTGAGCAACACCAGCCACGGTTAGACTGTTTCTTATTGGGAGCTGAGTACCCTCTAAAACTGTAACCTCTTTCCTCTGTAGGCATTTCCTTGAATAAAAGCCCATAAAGTTATTAAAACATATGTGCTTTTTTTTTTTTTTTTTACATTTTCCCTTGGGAATCACCTATAGTTTTCCTAGTTGCTTCTAGTGGTTTCTCTGAAGACAGGCTTGCAAAGGCTTAGGTGGTATTCTAGCCAAGCAGAAAGGTGTTTAGACACCCTGACAATGGACAAAGGTGTAGAATTTCCGTGTTGAGACTTGCTTATATATTTATTTTCTTGTGTGGTCCGTTCACACTGAGCTTTGGAAAGATAGGAGAAGCTTTTAGTTTTTCTCTCTCTTCTTCTCTGACACATGTATTTCAGTGGATAAGGATGTAACTCTCAAAGTTATGGCAAATTCAAGTTAGACTCCAACAGGAAGGAATGAAGGTGGGCTCAATAGGTAAGTTTAGAACAAGTCTAGGTCAGGGAATGGGGAGTGGCTGGAGGTTCTGGCAACTCTCTCCCAAGGTCTGCTTTGCCAAATTTCAACGACAAGGAAGGTTGGGCTTCCTACAGACTCCCGGATGTGCCTTTTCATCTGTTGACACTGAAGGGAGGGGCTGTGACCTGGAACCTGGAGGTGTCTCATGAGTGAGTAAAGGAGGAGGGGAAAAGAGGCTTCTTCTCTTCTTCCCCCCCCCCCCCCCAGGGCAAAGGGGTCTCCTAGTGATGGAGATGAGAAGCTGAGAATCAGTCAGCAGTGCAGTGAGCAGAGCTGGTTGCATTACTTCTTTTTTACTTCTGAATAAAGCGTTTCTGTGGTTGTTGGGGACGGAGAGACATGAGTTGGCTTCTTTGATTCCTGGCCATTGAAGTTCAGGGAAGAATATGTAATTTCATCCATCTGAAAGGCATGAGAAGTGATCAATTAAGTCACTGTCATAGGTCAGGCCCTCACCTTGCCTGGTGTGATTCGGCACCACCTCCTCTCACCACTTTGAAACTTCTAGCTTTGCAGAGGGCTTTTATTACCCATTATTCCTGCACACTGACATCCTTTGAATGGTCATTAGAAGAGACAGATTATGTATTCATACAATGGAAGAGGATGCTACAGCAATGAGAATGAATAGCTACAAATGCATACAACAATATGGATGAATCTCACAAAACCATTTTGAATGAAAGAAACAAGATAAATATGAGGATATACTGTGTTTTTCAAAATAAGAGCATAAACAGGCAAAACTAATGCATTGGAAGTCAGGATATGTTTACACTTTGAAGGGAAGTGACAGGAAGGTTTCATTTTGGAGGGAGATGACATGTTTTGTTTCTTCATTACAGTGCTGCTTTGAAAGAAGCTCAGTAAAATTATTATAAACTAAAGGAACTAAGACCTCAGACCCATTGGATTGGACATTGTCTTTTGACAGGAAGAACAGGGTCAGACTGAAGATAGAGGAGGGAGAATGACCTGATGCCTTCCTTATATTAGGACTGTGCTTTGCATGTGTCATCTCATTTCATTCCTTCAACTTCTTTCTGAAGTAGGCAGCATGCCCATATTACAGATGACAAAGCTGAGGATCAAAGAGGTTAAGCTACTTGCTCAAGGTCACAGAGCTACTAAGAGTCACTGGAGGATTCAAACACAGGATGGGGATACTCCAGAACCCATGTTCTTGCATGAGGTAGACCCAATGGGAGTAGTTAACCAATACATCCTTGTTTGTTGCTGCATTGAGGAACTCTGACTCAAATTTGATTGCATTTGTATCTTCAAGAATAACCCATTCTCTATAGAGGTATATGCATGAGAAAATGAGCCAATGAAGCTGGCTGTGCTTACCTTCTTAGGTGAGTTGTCAGAAAGGCCCTGACCTGGGAGTAGAAAGAAGAGTTAGCAATCCATGAAAATGCAAAACTGACTTATAGCCTTACAGCCTTGGTGTTGTTAAACTGTTGTGATTTCTAGCTGAAGGAGGTGGCAGGCAGTGGGAAGGTGGGGTGGGGTGGTGGTCCATAATCACTTAAAGAATTCGATTCCCTCAGAGTCTGTGGTCCAGACCCAGGGTGTTAGTGCCAGTGGAAGGGGTGTGGGGGAGAAGTGGGCAGAGAGGCAACAGTAGAGCCACAGAGGCCGCAGACCACTTCTGAAGATTTTTTCCAGTTGACAAGGCCTTGATTTTTTGCCCAGTTGTGTTTCTAAGCACTAGACACCAGTGGCAAGGATGGGCAGCACCCAGAGCACCACAAGACAGGGAAAGTTTCACCAAGGGAGAGTGCCCACATCCGTATTAGAGGAGGAGGGGAAGGGGTAGGTGAGGAATGGCTTTGGAAAACATGTCCACCTTACTCAGGCCTGCCAGGTCTGGCTGAGTGAGTCTCTCCCAGGGCTGGGTCTCAGGGGAATCTTTTGTGACTAGAAGGGTGTGAGGACCTACGGCAACCTAAGGTTGGGAAGTGGAGATCCCCTCTAATATTTCAGAAGGTACTGAGTCCTTGGGACCAGGTTTCCTGCTAGGGCAGGGCACGTGGTGGAACACACCAGCTCTCACTGGTGATGGCTTTACTTACTGTTGTTGGAGGCTGAGGGTTTGTGTTCTGTGAGATCGCGCTGGTCGCTTGCCCTAAACAAATATCAGAGACTGTGACTGCTATTCCCAAGCATAAGATCTTTGCTCCTTGAAGCAGCAAGGACATTGTGAGTAGTAAATTTCTTGGGGCTCCTCAGTGCTCATTTACACCAGAGTTGGTACTGCCTTTCCTCGTAGGCCTTCTCTTCAGTGTACCCACCATGCCTTCCAGTGTGCACTCCTTTCCTGCTGCCCTGACGTTCACATAGGTCCATTCTTTATTGACTGCCTCTGAGCCTACTTCTACCCTGACACCTTTCCCTTTTGAAGATAGATGCTGTTTTTATCTTCACCTTATTTATTGCCTAAGGTGCCTTCAGTTTCTGCTTTTTGTTAGGTTCTCTTCCTGTCCCCACCCTCTCTTCTCCTTCTCTTCCCATGGTTGAAAGAGCACAGGACTCACTTTCTCTAGCTTCTCTTTTTGTATTTTCATTTGTTTTCCTTCTTGGATATTGGCTTCCCTGACTGGGGGACCTAGTTGCATAATCTGCCCCCTCTAAACCAGATGGAGATGGGAATAACCATGTCCCAAAGGGAGAGGGGTACAGGAAGCTTGAAAACCAGGGAAGAAGAGGCCTCAGGAATCCATGCTGAGAAGCAGGGGTTTAGGAAGGAGGAGAAGCAGATCCAGGCCCAGAGACAGAGGGGAAGTCTCCTTCCCTCTTCCAAGCATGGTTGTTAGCTTTGGAGGAAGCGAAGCAAGAGGGAAGGCCATCATACCCTCCAGTCTTTCTGATATACAGGAAGTACACCAGCGCTGCTATCAGAGCTACGCCAGCCAGGACGCCAATCACGATGCCGGCAATAGCCCCAACTGAGAGGCCAGGACTTGGTAGTGTTGGATCATCTGTCATGGATAGAAAAGAGAAGAATGAGTGAGGTGACATTATTTTACAGTGGGGGTGCCCTTTGAGGTTAATAGCTGACTACATCCTTATAATTTTTTCTCTCATTGTATTTCTAGGTTGGTGCTCAGACTTGCCACAATTCCATCCTGGCCTTTCTACACAAAGATACTTTTGGAGCTTTGGAAATGTGAGAAAGGCGGGTTTCCATTTTTGTAAGTTATAAGTTTTCACCATTTCATGGTTGCCTGTTTTTCTGTACCAGGTATGGCAGCCATGAATATGTGCCACTCAGGTCTCCTGAGGTGGGGACTTAATTGATGGAAGGTGGTAAATGCACCACCTGCTTTCCACAGAGACTTCCCACAGGTTATCAGCAGGGATATGAAATAAGTCCATTTTGTGAGGAACGGTTTTCCTCTATGGGTGACTTTAGCTCAGACACCCCATCAGCTTTGCAGATACTCTCTTAGAACCACACCGCAACTTAAAATTTTCTCCTCTTTCTCCTTCACAGTAATCAGATCTGCATCTTGGTCAGAGAAATCTCCTAGGATTTTTCCATTTCCACCCACTTTTCTTTAACAGGCATTTTTCCCAGTAAATATTTGTATATCTAATCCCATCTTGGCTGCATCTCAGGGGGTGAAACTGAACAAACTAGGCTTGAAACTTTGCACTCAACTTCTTTTTATTTTCCTTTATTTAGTCAGTAACCATGTCCAATGATTTTTGTGAGTGATGTCCCCCTAACTCCCAAATATAAATAAATTTGCATCTATATCTTCTCTTTTATTTCTGTTGTCCTCACTGGTCAACTCAAGACTGATGATTATTATTTATGTTAGCTACTGCTATGGGGTACTTACTATGTGCCAGGCTCTGTGCTCAATACTTTAGTTATATCTCATTTAATTCATATAATAACCCTGTCAGATAGACATTATTTCCATTTTACTGATGAAAAAATTGAGTCTTAGAGCGTTAAAAAATTTACCCAAAGTCATATGTTTAGTAAGAGGTGGATCTGGGTGTCAACTCTAGGACCACCTGACTTCATAGAGGCTAATGATAATGGTAGTAATAAGAGCAGCTAACACATATGGAACTTTTCTGCTGCATGTGGCATTTGCTAAGGGTTTAATTGATTATTACATTATATATTTAAAGCAATATAATGAAGCAGGTACTATTACTGTAATTTTCAGTAGTGGAAATGGGGCCCAGAAAGTAAAGAATCTTGTGCAAGAAATTTGTTATTGTAACTGCTTACTTTAAAAAAAGAGAAAGATCTCAAATCAACAACCTAACTTTACAACTTAAGGAACTACATAAAGAATATACTAAATTCAAAGCTACCAGAAGGAAGGGAATAATAAAGATTAGAGTGGAGATAAATGAAATACAGCATGGAAAAACAATAGAGAAAAATCAATCAAACCAAAAGTTGGTTCTTCAAAAAAGATTAACAAAATTGATAAACCTTAAACTAGATTGTCTTAAAAAAAAAGAGAGAAGATTCAAATCACTAAAATCAGAAATAAAAGTGAGGATATTACTACCAATTTACAGAACAAATGAGAATTATAATAGTACTATGAATAATTGTATACCAAAAATTGTATAACTTAGATGAAATGGACAAATTCCTAGAGACACAAAACCTACCAAATGGAATCATAAAGAAATAGAAAATATGGGTGAATCTATAAATAGTAAGGAGATGTAATCAGTATAAGCATTTGACAAAATTCAACACTCTTTCATGATAAAAATGCTCAAACTAGGAATAGAAGGAAACTACCTCAACATAATAAAGGCCGTTTATGACAAACCCACAGCTAACATGATTCTCAATAGTGAAAGACGGAAAGTTTCTTTTCTAAGATCAGGCAGAGACAAAGATGTCTGCTTTTGCCATTTCTACTCAAAACAGTATTGGAAATCCTAGCCAGTAATTAGGCAAGAAAAATAAATAAAAGGCATCCAAATTGGAAAGGAAAAGGTAAAATTTCCATATGATATGATCTGTTTGCATATGATATGATCTTATATGTAGAAAACCCTAAAGATCCCACAAAAAAACTGTTAGAACTAATAAATTCAGCAACGCTGCAGGTTACTAAATCAACTTGTAAAAATCAGTCGTGTTTTTATATACAAACAATGAAAATTCAGAAAGGAAATTAGGAAAATTCCATTTACAACAGTATCAAAAAGAACAAAATACTGTAGGAACCAAAATGGTGGTGTAGGTAAATGCTGGTATTTGCATCCTCCCACAACCACATCAAAATTACAACTAAAATACAGACCGACCATTATTCAGAACTGCTTGAAGTCTGGCTGAATGGAAGTCCTACAACTAGAGGATTAAAGAAGAAAGAACATTGAGATTTGTAGGAGGGGTAGAGGTGAGGAACGGACTAGTCTTACACCTACATGTGGTGTGTTTTTAATTGGGAGGAATATCTTAGCTGAGGAGGCCTCCGCGAGGAGCAAGGGTCCCAGCCCCACACAAGACCCCCAGCTCAGGGTTCCAGTGCCTGGAAGAGATGTCCCTGTAACTTCGGGTGGTAAAAACCAAGTGGGGATTGTGGCTGGGTGACATGGAGATTACTGGAGTTGCAGGCAGTTCCACTTACAGGGCCAGCACAGGGGCTTACCCAGACTTACTCCCTCTGAGCTCCAATCCTGGGCAGCATCTTGAAAGGATCCAGGGACATATGGGGAGGAATTATATTGTCTGGTATCAGGGAAACTCAGGGGCAGCTTTCTCCCCAAAAATGCTGCGACCTCCCCCCACACAGTTGACTAGCAGGCGCTCCATATCTGAGTCTCCATCAACCTTGCCTACACTGTTTGCCCCACCCTGGTGAGTCCCTCAGATCCTGCCCCACCCAATTTGCAGCCCCTCCCAAGCTATTTACAGTGTATCTTCTATATATGAATGGCCTATTCTGGCTCAGGCTTCAGACTTTCCCAAAACCTCTCAAACAAGTAGCAACTGGACTCAGTGTGCTCCATACCTCTTGATAAGTATTGGGATACTAGCAGCAGTTTGCCAAGGTTCCCAGCTTGGCCTCTACTGGGCACCTCCTAGTCCAATACAAGTAGCAGCCATCTGCATACCATTCTGTAGCTCATGCCAGGTGGCCCCAGGCAGGGCACAGGCAGCGGCTGACTTTGCACCTCCCGGGGAGGCCCCAGAGCCAGTCCACCCAGTGGACAGTTTCAGACCATGCAAGATTACAACTCTACCACATCCACAAGTGACAGACTCAATGGGTAGACTTGGTGAGCACCAAAGCCCCACTGAAACAAGTCCTGTTCCATAGTGGTGTCTCTTGCACAGCAGCTCTTCCGCTGTAGTCACAGCTGGTCCTCACAACCAATTGGCCTGGGGGTCAATTCCTCCCAGTGACACTAGCATCAGTCAAGGCTCAACTACAATAGGACAGTGCACACAGACCACACTGGGGTGCACTGAGAGTACCCAGCTTAGGTGACTGGGGAGGCTGAGCCACTGGGCCCTATAGACACCTACTACACAAGGCCACTCTACCAATTAAGGAGACATAGCAGCTCTACTTAATACATAGAAACAAACACAGGGAAGCAGCCAAAATGAGGAGACAAAGAAACTTGTCATGAATGAAAGAACAGAAGTCTCCTGAGAAATAACTAAATGAAATGGAAGTAAGCAAACTACTAGATGAAGAGTTGAAAACAATGGTTATAAGTATGCTCAAGGAACTTAATGAGAATTTCAAAGAAATTAGTGAGAACTCCAAAGACATGAACGAGAACAATCAAGAGTAGAGTAGAGGATTCCGAGAATCATATCAACAATTTGGAATCTGAGGAAGCAAAAACACACAATCAGAAGAGCAAAGAGAAAAAATAATACAAAAATATGAAAGTAGTGTAAGGAGTCTCTGGGACAACTTCAAGCATAACAACATTTGCATTATGGGGTGCCAGAAGGAGAAGAGAGAGAGCAAGATATTGAAAACCTTTTTTAAGAAATAATGACAGAGCCGAGGCCGGTTTGGCTCGGTGGATAGAGAGTCGGCCTGCGGACTGAGGGGTCCCGGGTTCGATTCCGGTCAGGGGCATGTGCCTTGGTTGCGGGCATATCCCCAGTGGGAGATGTGCGGGAGGTGGCTGATCGATGTTTCTCTCTCATCAGTGTTTCTAGCTCTCTATCTCTCTCCCTTCCTCTCTGTAAAAAATCAATAAAATATATTAAAAAAAAAAAAAAAAGAAATAATGACAGAAAACTTCCCCTACCTGGTGAAAGAAATAGACTTACAAGTCCAGGAAGCACAGAGCATCTCAAAAAAGAGGAACCCAAAGAGGCTCACACCAAGACATATCATACTTAAAATGCCAAATATTAAAGACAAAGAAAGAATCTTAAAAGCAGCAAGAGAAAAGCAGTTAGTTACCTACAAGGGACCGCCCATTTGACTGTCAGCTGATTTCTCAACAGAAACTTTGTAGGCCAGAAGGGAGTGTTAAGAAATATTCAATGTGGCCGAAACTGGTTTGGCTCAGTGGATAGAGCGTCGGCCTGCGGACTGAAGGGTCCCAGGTTCGATTCCAGTCAGGGGCATGTACCTGGGTTGCGGGCATATCCCCAGTGGGAGATGTGCAGGAGGCAGCTGATCAATGTTTCTCTCTCATCGATGTTTCTAACTCTCTATCTCTCTCCCTTCCTCTCTGTAAAAAAATCAATAAAATATATTTAAAAAAAAAGAAATATTCAATGTGATGAAAAGCAAGGACCTACAACCAAGATTACTCTACTCAGCAAAGCTGTAATTTATAATTAAAGGTCAGATAAAGAGCTTCACAGACAAGAAAAAGCTAAAGGATTTCATCACTACCAAACCTGTATTACAAGAAATATTAAAGGGTCTTCTAGAAGAAGAAGAATAGAAGGAGAAGAAGAAGAAGAAGAAGAAGAAGAAGAAGAAGAAGAAGAAGAAGAGCCTGA